TCCCACATAATGCTTCTTAATGTCACAGCTAATGCAAAATACCCAAGAGCTAAGGTGGCACTCTGAAGCAGGACATGTATGTTAACAACTTGCAAAGTCCTCGTGGGTGCTGTGCCTTTTGCTTTCAGATGCTGGAGACATAGCAATATTTCAACAGTGCTGCCTTTGCTCAAAACATTTGAGACAACTTCCCAACCACACAGAAAAGTTAGTCACACACAAAATCATGCCTTGCTTTTGACCCAAAACAGCGCATCCACCTAATTAACCAGCCTTTTTTTGTTTGTTTGTTTGTTTGTTTGTTTTGTTTTTGTTTTTTGAGATGGCATCTCGCTCTGTCACCCAGGCTGGAATGCAATGGCACAATCTTGGCTCACTGCAACCTCCGCATGCCAGGTTCAAGCCATTCTCCTGACTCAGCCTCCCGAGTAGCTGGGATTCCAGGCGCCCGCCACCAAGCAGAGCTAATTTTTGTATTTAGTAGAGACTATGTTTCGCCATGTTGGCCAGGATAGTTTTGATCTCTTGACCTTGTGATCCACCCTCCTCAACCTCCCAGAGAGCTAGGATTACAGGTGTAAGGCATTGTGGCCAGCCCTTTTTTTTTTCAGATGGAGTCTTGCCCTGTATTCAAATGATTCTCCTGCCTCAGCCACCGAGTAGCTAGGATTACAGGCATGTGCCACCATGCCCAGCTAATTTTTGTATTTTTTTTTTTTAGTAGTGACGGGGTATTGCCATATTGGCCAGGCTGGTCTCAAACTCCTGACCTCAAGTCACCCACCCACCCCAGTCTCCCAAAGTGCTGGAATTACAGGCATGAGCCACCATGTCCAGCCCAACAGTAGATTTTTAGCCGAAGTAAGTATGGAGCATCCCAAGGTGACACTGAGAGCAGAACAGCCATTGGGATGTATGTATGGTTGTTTAGGGGAAAACCGGAGCATTTCTTTATGATCATACCTTAAATAAATCTCATATAACCGTGGCTAGTTTAAGAAACCTCGATGTATAAAAATTCAAACTTACCAAACAGAAAAAGCAAGAGGATGAGGACATTGTCTTGGTTATTCTTTTTTATTCTTTTTTTTTTTTTTTCCTTTGAAGACAGTCTCGCTCTGTCACCCAGGCTAGAGTGCAGTGGTGCGATCTCGGCTCACTGAAGCCACCACCTCCCAGGCTCAAGTGCCTTGGCTTCCTGAGTAGCTGAGACCCAGGCAAGCGCTACACTGAGCTAGTGTTTTTATTTTTGTTTTTGTTTTTGTTGTTTGCTTTTCTGAGATGGAAACTTGCTCTGTTGCCCAGGCTGGAGTGCAGTGACACAATCTTAGCTGGCTGCAATCTCCACCTCCCAGTTTCAAGCAATTCTCCTGCCTTGGCCTCCCGAGTAATTGGGATTACAGGTGCACACCACCACGCCTGGCTAATTTTGTATTTTAGTAGAGATGGCGTTTCACCATGTTGCCCAGGTTGGTCTCAAATTCCTGAGCTCAGGCAATCCACCAAAGTGCTAGGATTACAGGCCTGAGCCACCGCGCCTGGTGCTGCCCTGGTCATGCTCTGTCTGTCCCCTGCACCTTCAGACCCCTGCTCCTGCTTCTCTGCCCAACTCTGCACCCCAGAAGGTGGATCACCTGCAACACCTGGGCTCCCTTGCCCTCCAGCCGGGACAGCAGCAGGAGGAGAGAGGGGTCGGGGTATTCCTCCTTGCTTCACGCGGCAGGCAGTCCTGGCAGATGCTGGTCCTCTGTGGCTATGGCCCCCACTGATGCTCCCTCCTCTACCTCTTGCTCACGCTGGATTTCAGGAACACCACCTCTTCCTCACACCCTTCAGGACCAGGGATAGTTCCAGCTTTCCACTGCCCCTGGGGGTCTCACTGCCCCCTGTGGCCTCCTTTGCCCCTGCCCACTACTCCACAAACTGTCTCTTTATTAAAGTCTCTCTGACTGAACTATCTTCAAATGGAACTAAGTTTGCCAGAGGGAACCTGACAGATAGAGAAATGAGTGTGAATTTATGAAAACTATACTCCGGGCCAGGTGTGGTGGCTCACACCTGTAATCCCAGCACCTTGGGAGGCCGAAGAGGGCATGACTGATTGAGCTCATGAGTTTGAGACCAGCCTGGGCTACATGGTGAAACCCCCTATCTACGAAAAGTATAAAAATTAGCTGGGCAGGATGGTCGAGTTTGGGAGGCGGAGGTTGCAGTAAGCTGAGATAGTGCTGCTGTACTCCAGCCTGGGTGACAGAGCAAGACCCTGTCAGGAAGGAAGGAAAGGAGAAAGGGAGGGAGGAAGGGAGGGAGGGAGAGAGGGAGGGAGGGGGAAAAAAGGGAGGGAGGGAGAAAGGGAGGGAGGGAGCAGTTCAATATCCCCTGCCATTTGGGAGCCCACCATATATTTCAAAATACTTCTGTTTTCCCAGATGCTCCCTTGAACCACACCACTGTCTGCACACCGTCATGCTGCCTAAAGCGAGGCTATTGTCCTTGCAATTGCTCCTTGCTGAACTCTGGGAAAGAACAGGGAAGAGCCCAGCCCCTTCCCAATCTCCCTACACTGCTCTCACCCTCGAGCGCAGGAACCAGGACCTTAGAGTATAAAACCTTGCAAGGCTGGGTTGGGTCCTGCAAGGCAGGACTTTAGGGGGTAACTTGGACCACCCCTATCAGGAACTGAGGGAGGGCAGGGGTGGGCAGAGTGATGAGGGCATCAGGGAGAACAGGAAGGCCAGGGGTAAGAAGCATGGGCAGGTGGAGGGTGGGCCCTCTACACACCACACAAGCCCCTGTGCCTCCTCCCATGCCGCGCCTGCCATGGTAATCGTCACTGTGGGAAGCAGCGTTCCGGTTCGGTGACCACTGCCTCCAGCCCAAGCCTGGCATTGAGAAGAAGGTGGCTAGAAAACTCTCAAGTCTGAACGGCCAGTTGCCTTGTCCTTTCTCCATCCTGCCCACCACCCTGACTGTCCCAGCCAATGAGATCGTATGATTTCCACAGGTTTGTTGCCAGGGCTCAAGGCATTCCAGTTTTTCACACCCATCACGCCACTTCCTCTGTGGAGATCCTCAGAAGAGGAATCTGAGATCAGTGGGGCTGGGACACATCTGGCCACATGGGCTCAGAAAACATTCATTGAATGGATGCTGGGGGCCACCACTAGCCTGCATCACTTCTTCCTCAGGCTAAAAAAAATTTTTTATTGACACATCATTGGACAACCTGGGAAGTTCTGCCCAGAGGACCTTTCCAGCATCCTAATGAGCATTCTTTCCTGTGCACACAAGTGCACCCCACCGTCGCTCACTCACCCCACCCTCCAGACACCAGAGCTACTCATCTCGAGCGGCACACACACCCTGACTTGCCCCCACTCTGCTCTTGGCCTCAGAGTTGAGAAAGGAACAGGAGGAGATGGGAGTGAAGGCAGCAGCCAGGGTCAGGCCCAGACCCGGTTAGGACAGGCGGCGATGTGTGCGGGTGCGTGTGCCACCCATCGGGCAGGAGTCTGCTCACGCCCGGAGTGTCCGTGTGCAGCCTGGTGTACCAGGAGGTTTCTGTAGAAGATGGGCTCATGCCTGTCTCTCTAGGGTTTTATGCCAACTCGTGTGCTCTCTGTAAGCACGTATCTGGCTGTCACACAAACGCTGCACACTTCAATGTGATGCCGTGATGCAATACATAACCCAAATACCTGAGCGAACTCTGGCCCTATCAATGCTGCTATCCCAATTTTAAGGGTGATGAAACTGAGTTTTAAAGAGGTTAAGCATCTTGTCCAATTCACAAAAGAAGCCGTAGGTCAGTTTCCTAAAGAAAAGCCACAGGGCATCAGGGGCTTCCCTCCCAATCTCTCTCTCCAACATTACCGGGCACCCTTAAGCTCCAAAACCCCCAGGAACACTGGCTCTGCTGGCTGAGGTGAGAATGGACAAGGCTAGGGAATGCAGGTCTGAAATCCAGGCAAGGACAGGTAGAGCCCACACTGGCAGGAGAGCCCACTGACAAGCTGGTGCTAGAGAGGGAAGGATGGGCTGGGAGCCATTTTATCTCTGTTCTGGGGGGATCCAGAGAGGCACAGAGCTGCTCCACTGGCATCTCTGAGGAAGGGGGACAGGCTTGGTCCAAGTACAAGGAATCACCCTCTGCCAGCAAGGATCAACATTAGGAGTCAGTGACTAGAACCACTCTTCCCCCACCCCGCATATTGTCAACAGAGCTGGAAATCAAAAGGGGACTTTTGTCAGAAGAATTGTTCATGTTTAGCCCTAAAATGGACTAGAAAAAACCATAAAGACACCTTATACAAGATCAGCACCCTGGACAGGCATGGTGGCTCACACTTGTAATCCCAGCACTTTGGGTGGGCTCGGCAGGTGGATCACTTGAGGTCAGGAGTTTGAGATCAGCCTGGCCAACATGGTGAAACTCCATCTCTACTAATAATACAAAAATTAGCAGTGTGTAGAAGCGGGTGCCTGTAATTCCAGCTACTCAGGAGGCTGAGGCGGGAAAGCTGCTTGAACCCAGGAGGAGGAGGTTGCAGTGAGCCGAGATCGTGCCACTGCACTCCAGCCTGGGTGGCAGCAGTCCCTCAGCAAATGTGCAGCCATGTCAGAAATAAATGGCAGACTGGTGACTCACAAGCAGAGCCCTTTCAGTAACTCCAGCAGGCCTTTTAACTGTTCACATCAGTAACCCATTTAGAACCATTTCTGAATTACATATTCATATCTGAGGATGCAAAGTAGGTGAGTGGGTCCTGAGGTCAAGCCTCCTCTCGATTTTTCAGCAATGGTGCAGCCAACCTCACCATTAGAATCAAGAAGCAGTGATTTTCTCCCAGCACCTCCCGAAAGTCACCACCCTCAAGTCACTGACGAAACTAGCAATGCCACCAGATGGATTCAGATCCTATCTGAATAGTCACAGCTGGCTATACAACTTCCCCAGGCTTCCCGCCTGCCCCCAACACAGACTGCAAAGGCATAAGACATCAAGGTTAATAAACAGCTTTATTTGCCTGGTACAGCATCAATTTTCTTACATTCTCAATTAATTGGCCATTAAAGTGCTGGAAATTTTCTTAATCATGATAACATTTGTTAAAAAGAAATTAGAACTAATATCAGGAACATGGTGACATGAATAAACATTTCCCTTGCAAAACCCAGAAAACAGAGGCCCCTCATGTTGAGTTGGTGGGTTGGACAATTTGCAAACAGATTTCTAATTTCCTCTCACCATCAGCACCAAACTGGCTGGGACCATCAACCCTGGGTGAAAAAAGCAAAAAAAAAAAAAAAAAAAAAAAAAAAACCCTAAAAACACCCACACCTTGACTGCCGCCACCTCTGAGCCATCTGTGGGTGTTCGCTGTTGGAACAGATCCAATCTCAGGAAAGAGGGAGACCTGACCTCCGTCTGCAACCCATCACCCCCACCCTCCCTTACTAACAAAAGCCCCCAAAGTCATTATAATGAAAAAGTGGGTTTCCATTACCCTGAAACTAACAATGTTCAGTAAAAATGAGGATAATAAACATAAAAGCTTGCTTAGTAAACAGGAGCTCTCAGCAGTCAATGCAAAAAAAATAAAAAGAAATGAAATCTTAAGGCAAATACTGTTGACTTTGCACATGGGCTGGACGAAATTGGAACTCTTGACCTGTCTGTATAGTTCCAGGAGCTGACAGGAGGTCGCTTTTTCGGCCCTTGCCACTGTGTCAGGCAAGGTCTCTGCATGATTGCTGAGGCTGTCGGTGTGTTTCTCCTTGGAGTTGATATAGGAACACACCTGGGTTTGATGTTTTGTTATGTATATATATATGTACACACATACAAAGGCCTGCTACTCTTTCTTTGTGGAAACTGACAGCTCCACCTCGGGAAGCTGGATGCCAACCTTAGGCCCACTGTCGTTGCTAGAAGAGGAGGACAGTCGGGACTTCTTAGAGGCCAGGGACACCCCACTCCCCTGTAACTTGCCTGTCTCATCATCACTCCCAGTCACCTCATAATGACCTTTGCTCTTTGACCCCAATCCACCAAAGGTACCGAATTTCAGCTTCCCCTGTTTCCCTTTCACTTTCCCGCCTTCCAGCGACACTTCCCCACCTTCAAATTCCAGAGTCCCCGTCGGGGTGGAAGGCGCAGAGAACTCTCTTTCATCACTGAATGAATTCGAGCGGTGCCGTGGCTTCTTACTTTTAAATAAGGAGAATTTGCCTTTCGGTGAAGAGGCTTCGGCCTCTGCCTCTCCTTCCAGAGAGCCCAGGCTGGCCTTCGAACTTTTCAGGTCACCTTTGGACCCAGAGATGGATGCTTCCGGTGAGCCAGTGACACCACCTTTCCCTTTAGGTTTGGAAAAATTAAACTTGGGCATTTTGATTTTGGACTTTTTAAGTTTCGCTTCGGACTCTTCCCACTCGCCTTGTCCGGCACCAGGTTGGACACTGGCCTCTGCTTTAGGGAAGTGAATATCCACCCCCACTTCTCTGCCAACAAGCTCACGGCCAGAGAAGGTAAATTTGGGCATCCTCATCTTAGGGAATGTTACTTTTCCAGATCCACTTTCCAAGTGACCTTGAGGCCCAGACGCACTTAGCCCAGGAGCCTGGAGTCCAATCTGACCTCCTTTCACACCTCCTTCCACCTTTGGTCCTGAGAAATGAAGGCTCCCAGCAAACTTAGATGTGTCCAAGTTGAGAGCAGAGGAGACCTGGGGCCCCTTCCACTCACCCCCGGAGCCTTTAACACTCACATGCCCTTCACCGAGACTGATGTCTGGGGCACTGACACCCCCAGAAACATCCACACCTCCTTTGATCTTTGGACCCTTCAAGCTGATGCCAAAATCTGACTCAGGAGATGCCATATTAAAGGAAGGCCCCCTCACACTGATATCGGGAGCAGCCCCATGGAAACCTACTTCTGAACCTTTCAGATCACCTTTGATTTCAGGACCAGAAATCTTCCCGGTTGGGAGTTTCACATTCACACCCGGCAGGTTCACATCACATCCAGAGGACTTAATTCCAGGCATCTGGAGGTTTCCTTCTAGGCCTGGAAGGCCTCCTCCCACAGTGGGGCCTTTCATCTCGCCAGTGGCCCCAAGGCTCCCTTTCACTTTTGGTCCTTCCAAGTTCAAGTCCACACTCGGTGCTGAAATCTGAGGCCCCTTCAGTTCTCCAGAAACCTGTGGCCCCTTGACATGCAAGTCGGACCCTGGAGTAGAGATGCCAAATTGGGGCAACTTCATTTTGGGAAGTTTAATGCCGCCTTCGGAGGCCTCCAAGCTTAGATCAGGAGCGCCTACGGATACTTTAGGGCATTTGATGTCACCAGAGACAGCCAGGTCTCCCTGCAGGCTTGGTCCCCTCAGTGTCACATCTGGTGCCCCCACGTTAAGCGTTGTTGTGGCATCAATCCCTGGCACTTTCACTCCATCTCCTCCCACCTGCACTTTGCCACCGACACCGCTAAGGTCGAGCCCCGGAGCCTGCACCTTCACGCTGGGAACAGAGGCATCCAGGTCTCCCTTCAAACTTGGTCCTTTCAAGTTCAGGTCAAGGTCAGGCCCAGAGACTTTTGGCATAGAGAGCTTCACTGAAGGCAAGTCTACTCCTGGCCTCTTTAGAGAAACATCAGGCCCTTCAAGCTTCACATCTGGTCCTCTCAAGTCTCCTTCAAGAGAGGGTAGCTGGCCATGGACCTCGGCTTCCCCACCCTCCATTTTCACACCAGGGACACCGATCTTGGGCATGGAAAACTTGGGGAACTTGATTTTTGCTTCTGGACCTTGCAGATCTACATCTGGTCCTTCCAGTCCCACACTGGGGACATCACCCTTTATCTTTGGTCCTTTCAAGTTCACATTCACATCAGGGATGGAGACTTGAGGGGCAGAAATGCCGAAGGACGGTGTTTTGACTTTAGCATCTGGGCCTTCGATGTTGATGTCAGGCACATCCAAGTTTGCCTGCACTTTGGGACCTTTCAGGTCACCCTCTATTTTTGGCACTGGGATGTCCACACCTGGCATCTTGACCTTGGGAGCCTTCGCCTTGAGGTCAGGACCTTCGAAGTGAATCCCTGGTGAAGAAAGTTCCAGATCAGATGTCTGGAGTTCACCCTCCAATTTGGGGCTAGGGAGAGAGGCCTCAGCTTTAAATTTAGGTGATTTAATGTCAAACTCTACATCTGGGAAGTACATTTTTCCAAACATCGGTTTCTTGGTTTTGGGTGATTTCACGTCGACTTTGAGAGCAGCATCCGGCCCTGCAATATTGACATCTACGTCGGGAGCCTTGAGACTGGCATCAATTTCACCCCCAGGAACATTCACATCAAATCCCTGTTTTTTGGCCTTAATTTTAGGACCACTCATATGAATTTTAGGCATCTTAAACTTGCTTTTCTTGCCCTTGCCACCAACACTGATTTCAGGAGTCTCAAGGTTCAGCTCTGCCTCAGGAATGGTGACATCTAGAGAAGGTGACTTGATGTCAGCTTTGGGGCTTTTTGCCCCAAATCCAAACTTGGGTTTCTTAAATTTGGGGATTTTAACATCTGGCCCTTCGATGTTAATATCTGGGCTGTCCATGTGAACATCTAAGCTTGGAGCTTCAACCTTGGGTCCCTTGAGGTCCACTTCACCACCTTCTAACTTCGGACTGGAAAATCCAATTTTTGGTGCCTTAAGATGCAAATCAACATCAGGTGCAGATACTTTAGGAGCAGATATCTCCAGTGATGGCATCTTCAAAGATGGGCCACTGAGTTTGGCATCAGGGCCTTCAAAATCCAGACTTGGACCTTTAAGATCTACATCTGGGCCTTTCAAAGTCCCTTCAAGCTTAGGGACAGACACATCAAAATCTCCTTTTACTTTGGGTCCTTTCAAATCCAGGTCAACATCAGGCATGGAGATCTTGGGAGCTTTGATATTTATTTCAGGCATCTTGAACTTGGGGCCCTTCAGCTTTGCATCTGGACCTTCGATATTCACATCTGGAACATCAATGTCCACCTTGGGTCCTGAGACGTCAATGTCGGCTTTAGGAAGGGTAACATCCACATCTGGGCCCTCTCCTTTGAAGCCAGGCATGCTGAACTTGGGCATTTTCACCTTGGGCATCTTCAGGTGCCAGTCTGGGCCATGAACGTCCACATCAGGGGCACCGATGTCCATTTTGGGGCCCTTGATGTCAACTTCTGGGCCCTTGAGGTCACCTTCCACTTTAGGAAGGGAGACATCCACATCGCCCTTCACTTTGGGTCCTTTCAGGTGCAAATCAAAGTCAGGCATGGAGATCTTGGGAGCTTTGATGTTCATCTCAGGCATTTTGAATTTTGGGCCCTTCATTTTCGCATCAGGACCTTCGATATTCACATCTGGCACATCAATGTCCACCTTGGGTCCTGAGACATCAAGGTCAGCCTTGGGCAGGTTCACATCCACATCTGGGCCCTCTCCTTTGAAGCCAGGCATGCTGAACTTGGGCATTTTCACCTTGGGCATCTTCAGGTGCCAGTCTGGGCCTTGAACATCCACATCTGGGACATCAATGTCCACTTTGGGGCCTTTGATGTCAACTTCAGGGCCCTTGAGGTCGCCTTCCACTTTGGGCAGAGAAACGTCCACATCGCCCTTCACCTTTGGACCTTTCAGATTCAGGTCAACTTCAGGCATAGAGATCTTCGGTGCCTTGAGGTGTAGGTCAGGCATTTTAAATTTGGGGCCCTTCAGCTTCCCTTCTGGACCATGAATGTCAATGTCAGGGGTGTCAATGTCCAAGTTAGGGCCTTTGACATCCACTTTGGGACCTTTCAGATCTCCTTCCAGTTTAGGAACGGAAATGTCCATGTCTCCTTTTATCTTAGGTCCTTTCAAGTTCAAATCAATGTCACTCATGGAGATTTGCGGGGTTTTGAAATGAACATCAGGCATCTTAAACTTGGGACCTTTGAGTTTCCCTTCAGGACCTTCAATGTCCACCTCTGGCCCTTTCAGATCACCTTCCACCTTAGGAAGTGAAACATTCGCATCACCCTTTACTTTGGGACCTTTCAGATGCAAATCAAAGTCAGGCATGGAGATCTTGGGGGCTTTGATGTTCATCTCTGGCATCTTAAATTTGGGCCCCTTCAATTTTCCTTCTGGACCTTCAATATTGACATCAGGAGTGTCAATGTCCAAACTGGGGCCTTTGATGTCAATTTCAGGACCCTTGAGATCACCTTCCACTTTGGGCAGAGAGACGTCCACATCACCCTTCACTTTGGGACCCTTCAAGTTAAAGTCAATGTCAGGCATGGAGATTTTGGGGGCCTTGATGTTCATATCTGGCATCTTGAACTTTGGGCCCTTCAATTTTGCATCTGGACCTTCGATATTCACATCTGGAACATCAATGTCCACCTTGGGTCCTGAGACGTCAATGTCGGCTTTAGGAAGGGTAACATCCACATCTGGGCCCTCTCCTTTGAAGCCAGGCATGCTGAACTTGGGCATTTTCACCTTGGGCATCTTCAGGTGCCAGTCTGGGCCATGAACGTCCACATCAGGGGCACCGATGTCCATTTTGGGGCCCTTGATGTCAACTTCTGGGCCCTTGAGGTCACCTTCCACTTTAGGAAGGGAGACATCCACATCGCCCTTCACTTTGGGTCCTTTCAGGTGCAAATCAAAGTCAGGCATGGAGATCTTGGGAGCTTTGATGTTCATCTCAGGCATTTTGAATTTTGGGCCCTTCATTTTCGCATCAGGACCTTCGATATTCACATCTGGCACATCAATGTCCACCTTGGGTCCTGAGACATCAAGGTCAGCCTTGGGCAGGTTCACATCCACATCTGGGCCCTCTCCTTTGAAGCCAGGCATGCTGAACTTGGGCATTTTCACCTTGGGCATCTTCAGGTGCCAGTCTGGGCCTTGAACATCCACATCTGGGACATCAATGTCCACTTTGGGGCCTTTGATGTCAACTTCAGGGCCCTTGAGGTCGCCTTCCACTTTGGGCAGAGAAACGTCCACATCGCCCTTCACCTTTGGACCTTTCAGATTCAGGTCAACTTCAGGCATAGAGATCTTCGGTGCCTTGAGGTGTAGGTCAGGCATTTTAAATTTGGGGCCCTTCAGCTTCCCTTCTGGACCATGAATATCAATGTCAGGAGTGTCAATGTCCACTTTGGGTCCTGAGACATCAATGTCAGCTTTGGGCAAATTAACATCCACTTCTGGGCCCTCTCCTTTAAATCCTGGCATGCTGAATTTGGGCATTTTCACCTTGGGCATTTTCAGGTGCCAGTCTGGGCCATGAACATCCACATCTGGAGCATCAATATCCACTTTGGGGCCTTTGATGTCAACTTCAGGGGCCTTTAAATCACCTTCCATCTTCGGCAGAGAAACATCCACATCTCCTTTCACCTTAGGGCCTTTCAAATGCAAATCAAAGTCAGGCATGGAGATCTTGGGGGTTTTGATGTTCACCTCAGGCATCTTGAATTTAGGGCCCTTCAGTTTCGCATCTGGACCTTCGATATTCACATCTGGAACATCAACATCCACTTTGGGTACCGAGACATCAAGGTCAGCCTTAGGCAGGTTCACATCCACTTCTGGACCTTCTCCTTTGAAGCCAGGCATGCTTATCTTGGGCATTTTTATCTTGGGCATCTTCAGGTGCCAGTCTGGGCCTTGAACATCCACATCTGGGGCATCAATGTCCACTTTGGGGCCTTTAATAGCCACATCAGGAACTTTCACATCACCTTCCACTTTTGGCAGAGACACGTCCACATCACCCTTCACTTTGGGACCTTTCAGGTTAAGATCAAAGTCAGGCATGGAGAGCTTGGGGGCTTTGATGTTCATCTCAGGCATCTTGAATTTAGGGCCCTTCAGTTTCGCATCTGGACCTTCAATATTCACATCTGGAACATCAATGTCCACCTTGGGTCCTGAGATGTCAACATCAGCCTTGGGCAGGTTCACATCCACATCACCCTCTCCTTTGAAGCCAGGCATGCTGAACTTGGGCATTTTCACCTTGGGCATCTTCAGGTGCCAGTCTGGGCCTTGAACATCCACATCCGGGGCATTAATGTCCACTTTGGGGCCCTTGATGTCAACTTCAGGGCCCTTGAGGTCACCTTCCACTTTGGGCAGAGAAACGTCCACATCACCCTTCACTTTGGGGCCCTTCAGGTTTAAATCAATGTCAGGCATTGATATTTTAGGAGCCTTCAGGTGCATCTCTGGCATCTTAAATTTGGGTCCCTTCAATTTACCCTCTGGGCCTTCAATGTTAATATCAGGAGTGTCAATGTCCACTTTGGGGCCCTTGATGTCCATGTCAGGGCCTTTTAGATCACCTTCCACTTTGGGCAAAGACACATCCACATCACCCTTCATTTTGGGTCCCTTTAAGTTCAGGTCAAAATCTGGCATGGAGATCTTGGGGGCTTTGATGTTCATCTCAGGCATCTTGAACTTGGGGCCTTTCAGCTTTGCATCTGGACCTTCGATATTCACATCTGGAACATCAACATCCACCTTGAGTCCTGAGACATCAAGGTCAGCCTTGGGTAGGTTCACATCCACTTCTGGACCTTCTCCTTTGAAGCCAGGCATGCTGAACTTGGGCATTTTCACCTTGGGCATCTTCAGGTGCCAGTCTGGGCCATGAACATCTACATCTGGGGCACTGATATCCACTTTAGGGCCTTTGATATCAACCTCTGGCCCTTTCAGATCCCCTTCAAGTTTGGGAAGGGAAACATCCACATCACCTTTTACCTTGGGGCCCTTCAAGTTTAAGTCAAGGTCAGGCATGGAGATCTTGGGAGCTTTGATATTCATGTCAGGCATCTTGAATTTGGGACCTTTCAAGCCTCCCTCTGGACCTTCCACATTGAGCTCTGGACCCTCAATGTTCATACTTGGGCCCTCTATGTTGATGTCTCCTTTTGGTAGATCCACAGCTACATCTGGCCCTTCTGCTTTGAAGCCAGGCACACTGAACTTAGGCATTTTCATTTTGGGCATCTTCAGATTCCAGTCTGGACCATGAACATCCACATCGGGTGCATTAAGATTCACTTCTGGTACCTTAACATCAACTTTGGGACCTTTAAAGTCACCTTCTAGATTGGGACCTGCCACATCTAAGTCTCCTTTGACTTTGGGACCTTTCAAATTTAGCTCCACATCAGGCATAGATACTTTGGGAGATGAAATACTCAGGAAAGGCATTTTAAACTTGGGTCCTTTCACTTTTCCTTGGACCTCGACATCAGGAGCATTAATATCAACTTTTGGACCTGTTATGTCAATATCTGGCTTTTTACCTTTGACATCCACCTCAGGTGTCTGAACTTTGGAGCCCGAAAAATTAAATTTGGGAAGCTTAAAACGAGATTTCTTTGACTTGCCATCAATATTAAGCTTAGGACCAGAAACGTCCACTTCTGGGCCCTTTATATCCAAACTGGGAGCTTTAATGTCACCTTCCAATTTGGGCCCGGAGACATCAACATCTCCCTTAAGCTTTGGGCCTTTCAAATTCAAGTCAATTTCTGGCATGGAGATCTTAGGCATGTTTACATGCATGTCAGGCATCTTCAGTTTTGGACCTTTTAATTTGCCATCAGGGCCATGAATGTCAATATCTTGAGCATCTACATCTATCTTCGGGCCTTTTATGTCAAGAGCAGGTCCTTTCAAATCACCTTCTACATTTGGAAGTGAAACATCCACCTCTCCTTTTATTTTAGGACCTTTAAGATTGAGGTCCAAATCAGGCATTGATATTTTAGGAGTCTTGATGTTCATCTCTGGCATCTTGAACTTGGGGCCCTTCAGTTTCGCATCTGGACCTTCGATATTCACATCTGGAACATCAATGTCCACCTTGGGTCCTGAGACATCAAGGTCAGCCTTGGGCACGTTCACATCCACTTCTGGGCCCTCTCCTTTGAAGCCAGGCATGCTGAACTTGGGCATTTTCACCTTGGGCATCTTCAGGTGCCAGTCTGGGCCTTGAACATCCACATCTGGGGCATTAATGTCCACTTTGGGGCCTTTAATATCCACATCAGGAACTTTCACATCACCTTCCACTTTTGGCAGAGACACGTCCACATCACCCTTCACTTTGGGACCTTTCAGGTTTAAGTCAATGTCAGGCATGGAGATCTTGGGGGCTTTGATGTTCATCTCTGGCATCTTGAACTTGGGACCTTTCAACTTTCCCTCTGGACCTTCGATATTCACATCTGGAACATCAATGTCCACCTTGGGTCCTGGGATGTCAACGTCAGCCTTGGGCAGGTTCACATCCACATCTGGGCCCTCTCCTTTGAAGCCAGGCATGCTGAACTTGGGCATTTTCACCTTGGGCATCTTCAGGTGCCAGTCTGGGCCTTGTACATCCACATCCGGGGCATCAATGTCCATTTTGGGGCCTTTGATGTCAATTTCAGGGCCCTTGAGGTCACCTTCCACCTTGGGCAGAGAAACATCCACATCGCCCTTCACTTTGGTCCCTTTCAGATGCAAATCAAAGTCAGGCATGGAGATCTTGGGGGCTTTGATGTTCATCTCAGGCATCTTGAACTTGGGACCTTTCAACTTTCCCTCTGGTCCTTCAATGTTAACATCGGGGCCTTCAATGTCCACTTTGGGTCCTGAGACATCAATGTCAGCCTTAGGCAGGTTCACATCCACTTCAGGGCCTTCTGCTTTGAAGCCAGGCATGCTGAACTTGGGCATTTTCATCTTGGGCATCTTCAGATGCCAGTCTGGACCCTGAACATTAACATCTGGGACATCAACGTCCACTTTGGGGCCTTGGAGGTCAACTTCAGGACCTTTCAGATCTCCCTCTACCTTAGGGCCTGTAACATCCACATCTCCTTTTACTTTTGGACCTGTGAGATTCAGGTCAATATCTGGCATGGATATCTTTGGAGTCTTAAAATGCATTTCAGGCATCTTAAACTTTGGACTCTTCCACTTTCCTTCAGGTCCTTCGATAGTCACATCGGGACATTCAACATCCACTTTGGGTCCCGAGACGTTAAGGTCAGCCTTGGGCAGGTTCACATCCACTTCTGGGCCTTCTCCTTTGAAGCCAGGCATGCTGATCTTGGGCATTTTTATCTTGGGCATCTTCAGGTGCCAGTCTGGGCCACGAACATCCACATCAGGTGCATCAATGTCCACTTTTGGGCCCTTGATGTCAACTTCTGGGCCCTTGAGGTCACCTTCCACTTTAGGAAGGGAAACATCCATATCACCCTTTACTTTGGGACCTTTCAGGTTTAAGTCAATGTCAGGCATGGAGATCTTGGGGGCTTTGATGTTCATCTCAGGCATCTTGAATTTAGGCCCTTTCAACTTTCCCTCTGGACTTTCGATATTCACATCTGGAACATCAATATCCACCTTGGGTCCTGAGACGTCAATGTCAGCCTTGGGCAGCTTCACATCCACATCTGGGCCCTCTCCTTTGAAGCCAGGCATGCTGAACTTGGGCATTTTCATCTTGGGCATCTTCAGGTGCCAGTCTGGACCTTGAACACCCACATCTGGGGCATCAATATCCACTTTGGGGCCCTTGATGTCAACTTCAGGGCCCTTGAGGTCACCTTCCACCTTGGGCAGAGAAACGTCCACATCACCCTTCACCTTGGGCCCTTTCAGATGCAAATCAAAGTCAGGCATGGAGATCTTGGGGGCTTTGATGTTCATCTCAGGCATCTTGAACTTGGGTCCTTTCAACTTTCCCTCTGGTCCTTCAATATTAACATCAGGGCCTTCAATGTCCACCTTGGGTCCTGAGACATCGATGTCAGCCTTGGGCAAGTTGACATCAACTTCAGGGCCTTCTGCTTTGAAGCCAGGCATGCTGAACTTGGGCATTTTCATCTTAGGCATCTTCAGGTGCCAGTCTGGACCTTGGACATCGGGGGCATTTACATCAAGTTTGGCGCCCTTGATGTTCACATCTGGTACTTCAATTTTACCTTCTACCTCAGGCACAGACACATCTACATCCCCTTTGATTTTGGGTCCTTTGAGATTTAGGTCAACATCAGGCATAGAAATATTGGGGGCTTTGAAATGCATATCAGGCATCTTGAACTTAGGGCCTTTCAATTTGCCCTCTGGTCCCTCAATGTCAAGATCTGGCCCACTGATATCCACATGTGGCCCTTTAAGATCCCCTTCCAATTTGGGAACGTCTACATCCACCTCTCCTTTTGTCTTGGGGCCCTTTAAGTGTAGATCGAGGTCTGGCATAGATATTTTGGGAGCTTTAAAGTGCATGTCTGGCATCTTGAACTTAGGAGTTTTCCATTTGCCATCTGGGCCTTCCACAGCTACCTCTGGCATGTCAACATCTAATTTGGGACCTTTGACATCCAATTCTGGACCTTTTAACTCTCCCTCCAGCTTTGGGGCAGAAACATCAACATCTCCCTTGATTTTGGGTCCCTTTAAATTGAAATCAACATCAGGCATGGAGATCTTGGGAGCCTTGAAGTGCATCTCAGGCATCTTAAACTTGGGACCCTTCAGCTTCCCTTCTGGACCTTCGAGGCTCACATCTGGGACTTCAACATCCACCTTGGGTCCTGAGATGTCAATGTCAGCCTTGGGCAGGTTCACATCCACTTCTGGGCCCTCTGCTTTGAAGCCAGGCATGCTGAACTTAGGCATTTTCATCTTGGGCATCTTCAGGTGCCAGTCTGGGCCTTGAACCTCCACATCTGGAGCATCAATGTCCATTTTGGGCCCTTTGATGTCAACATCTGGCACTTTCATTTCACCTTCTATCTTGGGCACAGACACATCCACATCCCCTTTGACTTTGGGACCTTTTAAGTTTAAGTTCATATCAGGCATGGAGATCTTGGGGGCCTTGAAGTGCATGTCTGGCATCTTAAACTTGGGCCCTTTCAACTTTGCATCAGGACACTCGAGCTCAACGTCAGGCACCTCCACATCCACACTAGGGCCTGTTAACTCTCCCTCCAATTTTGGCACAGACACATCCATATCCCCTTTGACTTTGGGGCCTTTCAAGTGTAAGTCCACATCAGGCATGGAGATCTTGGGGGCCTTGAAGTGCATGTCTGGCATCTTAAATTTAGGGCCTTTCAATTTTGCATCAGGACACTCCAGCTCAACATCAGGCACCTCCACATCCACACTGGGGCCTGTTAACTCTCCCTCCAATTTTGGCACAGACACATCCATGTCTCCCTTTAGTTTTGGCCCCTTAAGATTCAGGTCCACATCAGGCATGGAGATCTTGGGGGCCTTGAAGTGCATCTCAGGCATCTTAAACTTCGGACCCTTCAGCTTCCCTTCTGGACCTTCGAGGCTCACATCTGGGACATCCACATCCACCTTGGGTCCTGAGACCTCAATGTCAGCCTTGGGCAGGTTCACATCCACTTCTGGGCCCTCTGCTTTGAAGCTGGGCATGCTGAACTTAGGCATTTTCATCTTGGGCATCTTCAGGTGCCAGTCTGGGCCATGAACGTCCACATCTGGGGCATCAATGTCCACTTTGGGCCCTTTGATGTCAACATCTGGCACTTTCATTTCACCTTCTACCTTGGGCATGGACACATCCACATCCCCTTTGACTTTGCGGCCTTTCAAGTGTAAGTCCACATCAGGCATGGAGATTTTAGGGGCCTTAAAATGCATGTCTGGCATCTTAAACTTGGGCCCTTTCAACTTTGCATCAGGACACTCTAGATCAACATCAAGCACCTCCACATCCACAGAAGGACCTTTGATATCAACTTGCGGCCCTTTGAGATCACCTTCCAGTTCTGGCACAGAAGCATCTATCTCTCCCTTCAGTTTGGGTCCCTTCAAATTCAAGTCCACATCTGGCATGGAGATCTTGGGAGCTTTTATATTCAACTTGGGCATCTTAAATTTGGAGCCTTTCAACTTTCCTTCTGGCCCTTCAATATCCAAATCAGGAGCATCAGTGTCCACACTGGGTCCAGACACATCAATGTCAGCCTTGGGCAGGTTCACATCCACTTCTGGGCCCTCTCCTTTGAAGCCAGGCATGCTGAACTTGGGCATTTTCATCTTGGGCATCTTCAGATGCCAGTCTGGGCCATGAACGTCCACATCTGGGGCATCGATGTCGACTCTGGGCCCTCTGATGTCAACATCTGGCACTTTCATTTCACCTTCTACCTTGGGCACAGACACATCCACGTCTCCCTTTAGTTTTGGCCCCTTAAGATTCAGGTCCACATCAGGCATGGAGATCTTGGGGGCCTTGAAGTGCATCTCAGGCATCTTAAACTTCGGACCCTTCAGCTTCCCTTCTGGGCCTTCGAGGCTCACATCTGGGACATCCATATCCACCTTGGGTCCTGAGATGTCAAGGTCAGCCTTGGGCAGGTTCACATCCACTTCTGGGCCCTCTCCTTTGAAGCCGGGCATGCTGAACTTGGGCATTTTCATCTTGGGCATCTTCAGGTGCCAGTCTGGGCCATGAACGTCCACATCTGGGGCATCAATGTCCACTTTGGGCCCTTTGATGTCAACATCTGGCACTTTCATTTCACCTTCTACCTTGGGCACAGACACATCCACATCCCCTTTGACTTTGGGGCCTTTCAAGTGTAAGTCCACATCAGGCATGGAGATTTTAGGGGCCTTGAAATGCATCTCAGGCATCTTAAACTTGGGACCCTTCAACTTCCCTTCTGGACCTTCAATATCAATATCACCAACATTCACATCCATCTTAGGGGCTTTCACATCAATTTCAGGACCCTTCAAGTCTCCTTCCACTTTGGGAAGGGAAACATCTACATCAGTTTTCAGTTTAGGGGCTTTCAAATTAAGTCCAACATCAGGCATAGAGATTTTGTGTGTCTGTATATTCATACTTGGCATCTTGAACTTGGGGCCTTTCAGTTTCCCCTCTGGAGCTTCAAGATTCACATCTGGAGCATCAATGTCCACCTTGGGTCCTGAGACACCAAGGTCAGCCTTGGGCAGGTTCACGTCCACTTCTGGGCCCTCTCCTTTGAAGCCAGGCATGCTGAACTTGGGCATTTTCACTTTGGGCATCTTCAGGTGCCAGTCTGGGCCATGAACCTCCACATCTGGTGCATTCATGTCAACTTTTGGGCCTTTGATGTCAACATCAGGAGCTTTAATCTCTCCTTCTACTTTTGGAACTGTGACATCATAATCTCCTTTCATTTTAGGAGCTTTCAAATGCAAACCCACATCTGGCATGGATATCTTCTGAGGCTTTATATTCATTTCCGGCATCTTGAATTTGGGACCTTTTAGTTTCACATCTGGACCTTCAATATTCACATCTGGAACTTCCACATCCACCTTGGGTCCTGAGACATCAATGTCGGCCTTGGGCAGATTCACATCCACTTCTGGGCCCTCTCCTTTGAAGCCAGGCATGTTGAATTTGGGCATTTTCACTTTAGGCATCTTCAGGTGCCAGTCTGGGCCATGAACCTCCACATCTGGAGCATCAATGTCCACTTTGGGCCCTTTGATGTCAACATCTGGCACTTTCATTTCACCTTCTACCTTGGGCACAGACACATCCACGTCTCCCTTTAGTTTTGGCCCCTTAAGATTCAGGTCCACATCAGGCATGGAGATCTTGGGGGCCTTGAAGTGCATCTCAGGCATCTTAAACTTGGGACCCTTCAGCTTCCCTTCTGGACCTTCGAGGCTCACATCTGGGACTTCAACATCCACCTTGGGTCCTGAGACGTCAATGTCAGCCTTGGGCAGGTTCACATCCACTTCTGGGCCCTCTGCTTTGAAGCCAGGCATGCTGAACTTAGGCATTTTCATCTTGGGCATCTTCAGGTGCCAGTCTGGGCCATGAACATCCACATCTGGGGCATCAATGTCCACTTTGGGCCCTTTGATGTCAACATCTGGCACTTTCATTTCACCTTCTACCTTGGGCACAGACACATCCACATCACCCTTCAGTTTGGGCCCCTTAAGATTCAGGTCCACATCAGGCATGGAGATCTTGGGGGCCTTGAAGTGCATCTCAGGCATCTTAAACTTCGGACCCTTCAGCTTCCCTTCTGGACCTTCGAGGCTCACATCTGGGATATCCACATCTACCTTGGGTCCTGAGACGTCAGTGTTGGCCTTGGGCAGCTTCACATCCACTTCTGGGCCCTCACCCTTGAGGTTGGGCATGCTGAACTTGGGCATTTTCATCTTGGGTATTTTCAGGCTCCAGTCTGGGCCTTGGCCTTCCACATCTGGTGCTTTAATATCTACTTTGGGACCTTTGACGTCCACATCTGGAACCTGCATCTCACCCTCTATCTTTGGTGCAGAGATATCTACATTTCCTTTCATTTTGGGTCCTTTAAGATCCAGGTCAACATCTGGCAGAGACATCTTAGGAGCTTTGAAGTGCATCTCGGGCATCTTAAACTTGGGGCCTTTCAACTTCCCTTCAGGTCCTTCCAGACTCAGATCTGGAGCACTAATATCTACCTTTGGTGCAGAAATGTCCACATTTGCTTTGGACAGGTTCACATCCAATTCTGGCCCCTCTCCTTTGAGACTGGGCATGCTAAATTTGGGCATTTTAATCTTTGGCATCTTCAAGTTCCAGTCAGGACCCTGCATTTCAACGTCTGGGGCACTGACATCCACTTTGGGGCCTTTCAGGTCCCCTTCCAGCTTTGGCACTGTAACATCATATTCTCCCTTTACCTTGGGCCCTTTCACATGCAAGTCCACATCAGGCATGGAGATCTTGGGGGCCTTGATATTCATCTCTGGCATCTTGAACTTGGGGTCCTTCAGCTTTCCTTCAGGTCCTTCAATATTCACATCTGGAACTTCAACATCCACCTTGGGTCCTGAGATGTCAACGTCAGCCTTGGGCAGGTTCACGTCCGCTTCTGGACCCTCTCCTTTGAAGCCAGGCATGCTGAATTTGGGCATTTTCACCTTGGGCATCTTCAGGTGCCAGTCTGGGCCCTGAACCTCCACATCTGGGGCATCAATGTCCACTTTGGCACTTTTAAGTTCAACATCAGGAACTTTAATGTCACCTTCAACCTTTGGCACTGTGACATCATATTCGCCCTTTACATTAGGGCCTTTCAAATGTAAGTCCACATCAGGCATGGAGATCTTAGGGACTTTGATGTTCATCTCAGGCATCTTAAACTTGGGCCCTTTCAATTTCCCTTCTAGTCCCTCAATGCTCACATCAGGAGCACTAACATCTACCTTGGGCCTGGAAATGTCCACATCAGCCTTGGGCAGGTTCGCATCCACTTCTGGGCCCTCTGCTTTGAACCCTGGCACACTGAATTTGGGCATTTTCATTTTGGGCATCTTCAAGTGCCAGTCTGGGCCATGGACGTCCATATCCGGGGCATCAATGTCCACTTTCGGGCCTTTGAGTTCTCCTTCAAGCTTTGGTACGGTTACATCATACTCTCCCTTCACCTTTGGACCTTTCACGTGCAAATCTACATCAGGCATGGAGATCTTTGGTGTCTTCACACTCACATCAGGCAGCTTAACATCAGGGCCTTTCAGTTTTCCCCCCAGACCCTCCATGTTGACATCTGGGGCTTCCACATTGACCTTGGGCCCTGAAATACTGACATCTCCTTTGGGTAGAGTCACGTGCACATCTGGACCTTCCCCTTTGGCTCCTAGAGTGCCAAATGTGGGCATTTTCATCTTGGGCATCTTCAGGTTCCATTCTGGGCCATGTACTTCCACATCTGGGGCACTGACGTCCACTTTGGGGCCTTTGACATCACCTTCAGGGACTTGGACTTTCCCTTCTACTTTGGGGAGCGTGATGTCTACACCCCCTTTCACTTTAGGTGCAGCCACATTTAAGTCTACTTCTGCCATAGAGATACTACAGGTTCCAGTTTTCCCGGAAGGACTGCCAAGCCTGGGGCCAGTCAAGGTTCCCTGTAGGTTTGGTGTCTCAATGTCCACTCTGGAGCCTTTAACCGCCACTTGAGGGCCTTTCACATCACCTTGCACCCCAGGAGCAGAAACCTTAATATCTCCTTTCAGTTTAGAAGACCCAAGGCTCAGATCCACATCCCGCATGGAGATTTTAGGTTTCTGAACAATCATTTCAGGAGTCTTGACTTTCACACCTTTCACCTTTCCTTCCAGCCCACCAGTACCAATCTCGGGCAGGCTGATATCCCCAGAGACCCCAGGAACAGCCACTTCACCTGTAGGCAGGGTCACGTCAATTCCAATTTCCTCTCCCTTTGTACCTGATACAGAGAACTTGGGGACTTTCATCTTGGGCACATTCAGTTTGCTCCCAGTCCCATGAATATCAACGTCAGGGACCTGTACTTCCACATTGGGGCCAGTGATGCTACCCCCAATTTGGGGAACAGAGGCGTGCACCCCAATGCTCTCCTGTGGCTTGGCACCTTTCAGGCCCAGGTCACCCTCAAGTGACGGCCCAGTGATTTGGGGGCCCTTCAGCTTCCCCTCAAGCCCTTCAATATTGGCCGAGGGTGCACTGACTTCCAGCTGAGGGGCTTGGACAGTCACGCCTGGCTTGCCACCCTTGTGCCCCACAGAGACTTCAGGTGTGGAAACCCTCAGCCCTGCCTCTGGTGTCTGGCCCTCAGGCCCTGTCGAGACACCAAATTTCGGCATCTTCATAGTGGGAATTTTAATTTTCCCATGATCACCACTCTCCAGCAACGGGCCCTGCACCTCTATGGCCCCACCCCCAAGAGAAGATGAAATGTCCACTGCTGGAACCTGCACCCCTCCTCCGCCACCCAAGTCCAAGCCCTTGGCACTGACATTGACACCCGAGCCTCCCACCTTTATCCCAGGCATGGTGACCTGGAGCTTCGAGTGGCCAGCACCTTGGAGCTCTGGTCCTGAAGCAGAAATGGCCCCTGCTCGGATATCCACAGCAGAGCCTGTGGTTGCAGAGGCTGCCCCGGAGCCCGAGGGCAGTCTGATCACGGTCTTCCCGGACTGGGTCTCCACATCCACATTGGAGATTTCCGTCAGTTCATGCCTTGGAATCTTGATCTTGAATTCAGGGCTACTGATGTCTATGTCCTTGGCTCCTTCCCGGCCGGTCACATCCACGGTGTAGGCCGTGACCCTTCTGGTCACCGTGATGGTACGGCTCTGGGTCTCCACAAGGTCTCCTTCCACTCCATCTTCCGACTTCAGCCGTGGCTTGATCTTCGTGGTGTAGATGCGCTGGTACTCCTCATCATCCCCGCTCTGCAGAAAGACACGCCCGGCAGAGGTTGCAACAGAGTCTGCCTGAGTTAGCAGATGCCTGGCCGCAGCCCAGCCGACACCACGTTGCCTGTTTCCCAGAGAAGCTGGGACCAGAACAGAGGTCCATGCAGCCTCCTGGGGCACAGTACAAGGGAGTGAAGAAAGGGGCTGACAGCCACATCACAGGAGGAAATCAGAAATTCTCTGGAGGTCATACCAGTAAGCAAAAACCACAGGGAGAGAATGGGAGGTATACGCTTGAACTGGGCTGCTTTCCAATCAGTTAGCGATTCAAATCAGCCTGTGCAGGGACACCTCCCAAGACACCAGGCCCTTCACCTCCCAACTCTCAACCCACTGGTTTGTGAGTTTAATCAGGAGGGGAATCTTCTCAAGGGCTCTTGTACACTGGAAAGCACTTGATAAGCCTAAGAGACTCATTGTGCTTGGGTTAACAGTCTCACTTTGAGGACCCATTATTTGTTAAATAAACAAGGCATCAGAAGGAACAATGCCCCCACAGGCGCTTTGCTGCCCAGCGTCTGACTCACAGAAAGTATCAGGACTCTGCAGAGAGGAAAATGGTGTCTGTGAGGTGGAGCTGGGCACCTGTGAAGTCATTTCAAAGATTCTTGCAAAGCAGCTGACCTTCTTCCTAGGATCTAGGACCAGGCTGCAAAGTCATTCCCACACTGTGGCCACTCTGAAGACACTGATGGACACTGAGGGGCAGCACAGCCGCGTGTCACATGAGAACAGACAGAAATAGGGTGGCCAAGATCTCAAGAGAGTGAAGACAGGTGAGAGGAGGAGAAAGAGCAAAAGAGAGGCTCAGAGGCTCACAGAAGGCTCAGGAGTGGGGTCTGGAGGCCGGCGTGGCCGGGGGAGCTCAGGGCACAGACGGGCCGGCAAGGTACTCACCAGAACCACTTCAGAGCTGCGGGAGCTGAAGACATCATGGGTCCAAGTCTGGCCAGGCTCGGGGGACCGGTCGCCCTTGCGGTGCAGCTTCAGGCCCACTGTGTGGTGCCCCATGGTGTTCAGCAGCTGGGTCACCTCTCCCGACTGCAGGTTGTCAAAGTAGATGGTGGCACCCACAATCTGGTCCCCTGAGCAGGGAAGAGCAGGAAGCAGGTGAGGCCCACAGAGCTTCAGGGAAACAGCACACAGCCACCACACACTGCACACCAGACTGACTTCATCTCATGACCACCCTGCAAGGTGGACATGGCAATACCCATTGTACAGGCGTGGAAACTAAGGCTTAGAAAGGCCAACTCATTGGCCGGGCGCAATGACTCATGCCTGTAGTCCCAGCACTTTGGGAGACCAAGGTGGGTGAATAACCCAAGGTCAGGAGTTCGAGACCAGCCTGACCAACATGGAGAAACCCCATGTCTACTAAAAATACAAAAATTAGCCAGGTGTGGTAGTGTACACCTGTAATACCAGCTACTCAGGAGGCTGAGGCAGGAGAATCGCTTGAACCCGGGAGGCAGAGGTTGCAGTGAGCCAAGATGGAGCCACTGCAGTCCAACCTGGGCACCCAAATCTGCAGAGCTAGTGGGTGGGAGCCAGGTGTAAGGTCTCCACTACCCCCACACAACTGCCTCCCCTGAGGACCACAAGTGACAGACACAGAGTGACCAAGGGAGGGCAGGGCTTGGGTACCAACCACCCTGATGCCACTGGGAACGGGCCCTTCGCAGTCACTTGCCCATTTCTGCCTGCTCCCTGCCCTTCCCTCCTACACCCCCACTTACCCCCAACCTTCAGCACCCAGTCCGCACCCTGGGATGACTCACCCTCCTTGACCACCCCAGTGCGGGCCGCAGGGGAGTTCTGCATCACCTCCTGCACAAAGACGCCGTCATCCCTCTGGGCGATGGTCAGCCCGTGGGAGCCACTACCCTGCCAGTTGGGCAGCAGCAGCTCCCGAGTTGTCTCCTCCTCCTTCTCCATCTGCAACGAGGTGAGGAAGTGGAGCTGGGGTCAGTGGGGATGCGAAGACATGAGGGCATGGGAAAGCCAGCGATCTCTGGTGCTGTGAACGCCAGGGGGTGGGGCCATCTGCAATGCACCTGCCCCTGTGGTCGGCTCACCTGCTAGGTGAGGTGTTGGGGGTGGGGCAATTCATCTCGCGTCCTTCCACTGTGGAAGTTCTCCCAAGGCACAGCAGAGAAGAGGGAAAGGAGACAGCGGAGGCAACTGGCCCCAGAGGTAGCCAGCCCTTCTCCCTACCCCCGACGGCCCCAGCCTCCCATCCATACGGGCCCACCCTCCCCCGATCCCATCACCTCTGCCTCTCTCTGCCCCTCCCAGCTACTGACCTTTGCAGGATTCCACTCAGGATCGAATGCCTTGCCAGGAGCCCACCCCGCTTTCCTCTCTTCCCCTTAGTCTCTCTCGTCCGGAATCTTCACAACCTAGGGAAAAGTTCATGATGATCCTCACACTCCAGTCGGCAGTTGGTATGCTCCAAGTCCCCACTCAAGGGACAGCCAGGCACTCTGCTACTCAGGCCAGCCCACAACCGCCATCAACCCGACCCCCACCACCGCCGTCAATTCCACTTGTCCATGACCCTCCAGCCTGGCTTAGCAGAAAGGGGCTTCGGAGGAACCAGACTCGGAGTCAGATCCTGGCTCTGCTTCCTCCTAGCTGTGGGACCCTGGGCAGGACACTTCAGTTTTCTGAACCTCCATTTCCTCATCTGTGAAAATGGAGACAACAGGCCAGGCACGGCGACTGATGCCTGTAATCCCAGCACTTTGGGAGGCTGAGGCAGGTGGATCCCCTGAAGCCAGGAGTTCAAGTCCAGCCTGACCAATATGATGAAACCCCGTCTCTATTAAATAAATAAATAAATAAATAAACAAATAAAAATCAGCTGGGTGTGGTGGCGAGCACCTGTAATCCCAGCTACTTGGGAGGCTGAGGCAGGAGAATGGCTTGAAACAGATGGTGGAGGTTGCAGTGAGCCGAGATCGCAACACTGCACTGCAGCCGGGGTAAAAAAGCAAAACTTCACCTCACAAAAAAAAAAAAAAAAAAGAAGAAGCAACAATCTTGCATGTTCGAATGTTCTTCATTCACATGTACCGCAAAACCTAAAATGCAATTAAAAGACCGGGCGCGGTGGCTCAAGCCTGTAATCCCAGCACTTTTTTTTTTTTTTTTTTTGAGACGGAGTTTCGCTCTTGTTACCCAGGTTGGAGTGCAATCTCGATCTCTTGACCTCGTGATCCACCTGCCTCGGCCTCCCAAAGTGCTAGGATTACAGGCATGAGCCACCGCGCCCAGCCAATCCCAGCACTTTGGGAGGCCAAGGCGGGTGGATCACGAGGTCGAAAGATCGAGACCATCCTGGTCAACACGGTGAAACCCCGTCTCTACTAAAAATACAAAAAATTAGCTGGGCGTGGTGGCGCCTGCCTGTAATCCCAGCTGCTCAGGAGGCTGAGGCAGGAAAATTGCCTGAACCCAGGAGGCGGAGGTTGCGGTGAGCCGAGATCGCGCCATTGCACTCCAGCCTGGGTAACAAGAGCGAAACTCCGTCTCAAAAAAAAAAAAAAAATGCAATTAAGAAAAAAAAAGAATATTAAGGATAAGGAAAAGAAAATGAAGAGAATAAAGAAGAAGAGAGCACCGGCCGGCAGGAGCAGCCTCACATGCACACCCCCACCACATGCTTTTTATTTTTTTGAGGCAGGGTCTGTCTCTGTCACACAGATTGGAGTGCAGTGGCATGATCATGACTCACCACAGCCTCGACCTCCTGAGCTCAAGTGGTCCTCCCACCTCAGCTTCCCGAGTAGCTCAGACCACAGGCACGTGCCACCACAACTGGCTGTTTGTATTTTTGGAGAGACAGGGTTCTGCCATGTTGGCCAGGTTGGTCCGGAACTCCTGGGCTCAAATGATCCTCAAGTGCTGGGACTCTAAGCAGGAGCCCCGCACCCAGCCTCTTGCTACATTCTCAACCAGAGTTGCAAGAGGGCGACATTACTGTGTGCATTTCACAGACAGAGACTGAGTCTCTGAGAACACAGCTTACCCGGGGTACACATGACAGCCCAACTCTGCTGGGCTTGGACCCGAGTCTGTAACTCTGCCTCCCCATAACAGGTTATAACAGGCAGGAGACTCCTCAGAGGCTGCCTCCAGCAGGAATGACAGTGTCCTACTTCCCTCAGCAACAGACTTGGGCCACCCGGTCTCACCCAGCAGCTGAGAGCTCTGGGAGCCCTGCCACCAGCAGCTGCCTGAACAAAGGAGGCCCCAGCTCCACAAGGCACCACCCAAGCCCTAGAGGCTAGAGCCCAGCTGAACCCGCCTAGGGCCATGGTGAGTCGGGGCCCACTGGCTGCCCACACCACGCCCTGAGCCAGGCCCCTATAGGCGCAAGCATTTAGGAACAAATTCACCCTCCAGCCACAGGATGAGCTGTCAGCTGCAGGCACCCTGGAAAGACACCAGGCAGGACTCTGCACAGGACCACAGACTACAGCCACCCACACAAAATGGTGACAGCGGCCACCACTTGAAATGGTGTGGAGAATACTATCGGTCATGGGGAACCTAACCCAAAGCCCCTCCTTTGGCTGTTTACATCCAGAAACTCTCAGCAGTCAGTCAATGCCTGCATACTGGCTGCCTCCATATGCTCAACACTATACTTTGCACTGCAGAGGGAACCGGCCAGGGATGGACACAGCTGGGCCCAGCATCTAATTACATGCTGGCATCAGATGGTGACTTCACATCACTCAAGCACATACACGCCACACAGGGAGATTTAAGACTCAGTTCCGGCCAGGCGCAGTGGCTCACGCCTGTAATCCCAGCACTTTGGGAGGCCAAGGCAGATGGATCACAAGGTCAGGAGATCGAGACCATCTTGGCTAACACGGTGAAACCCCATCCCTACTAAAAATACAAAAAACTAGCCAGGTAGGGTGGCACACGCCTGTAGTCCCAGCTACTCGGGAGGCTAAGGCAAGAGAATGGCTTGAACCTGGGAGGCGGAGGTTGCAGTGAGCTGAGATCTAACCACTGCACTCCAGCTTGGGTAACAGAGAAAGACTCCATCTCAAAAAAAACAAAAGACTCAGTTCCTGTCCCAGATACACATGACGAGCAAGGTGTACTGGCTGTGACTGATTTTGCCGCAGAATATTCCAGAAGGCTTGGGAGCCTTCTGGTGAAAATGAAATATACATGGAGTCTTGAAGGTGCTAGAGGGGACCTCTGAGGATGGGACTGTGTCTCCTGAGAATGTGTGGGCACTTAGCAGTTCCCGACTCAGACAGATCAGCACATGGATGAAAGAAACGCAGACCCCAGGCCCCGACACTGGCTGCCCACACCACGTGTGGGCATTGCCATCTCCCCTTTGACAACTCGGAGTGGGCAATGGGCCTCCTTGTCAACACAGGTGCTGGCTATGAGGTGAGCAAAGGCGCTGAGCCTGTGGGCTCAGGTGCGGATTGGGGAAAACACCATCTCCCCTCTGGCCACAGAGGAGGCTGCGATGGGAAATCACTCTGACCCTTCCCAGGGTGAAACAGCAAAGCTGGGGCTTCAATGGCACCTTGTCTCCCAGTGTCCAACCCTGCAGATAAGGAGCCAGGCAGAGGCAGGGAAGGAAAAAAGATTCTAGACTTCATCTCTCAGAACTGAAGCCACCCCTTCAGACGGCCCGGACACCCCTGTCCTCCTCCTGGGACAGGGCCCCTTTGCTCACCCCGCATCCTGGTGCTGTGCCAGCAGCCATCGAGGGGGAGAGAGCTAGCTGAGCCAGCTCACCCTTGCCCACACCTCGGCCCCACCCTCCCTCCTTCCCCCTCTCCCCAGTGAGTCACTGCAGCTGGCTGCAACAGCTCCAGACCTGCAAAGGGTCGTGCTTAAAACCCCAAGGACAAAGTGTCTCCTGGGCCAGACCCCCAGGTGCCAGAGGAAGCAGGACTCCTCTGCAGACAGGCAGGTCGCTTCCCTGACAGGGCCTCAGGCAGGAGTCCCCTTTGAGGCCGGGAGAAACTTGCTACCTGCCTCAACCCAGGTGGCTCCTGAGGAGGGGAGAACCTATCCTAAGTAGAGACCGATCCATACCCAGCGAGGACTGGAGGCGTAGGACGGGAGGCTGCAGGTTGACCATGGCAGAGCACCCGACGGCTCCCCGGCCAGGTAGGGCTGCCAACCACCCTGCCTGCTCTGGCTCTGGCCCTGCTGTCCCGGCACAGCCTGGAGGGCCTCTCCTCTCATCTGACCTGGGCCATTCAGTTGCGAGGAGGGGCGTGGAGGTACTTAAGGGGATACGGAAGTAGGGGTGTGGGATACTATGTAGCCAGGGTTTCCTGTTCTCTGCATCTGGGTCCCAGCCCTTAGTCTCTCCTCCACCTCTGGAGCCTGTACCAAGCCAGGTGGCCCTTCCTTCTCCTCCCACTCGAGTCAGGTTCAGCCAAGCTTTCCCCAGAGGCTGAGAGCTCTGCCCTGCTGCTACCCAAAGGAGGGTCTTTGGAGCTTTGGGGAATTCTGCACGATTCAGCCAATTGCCATAACCACCTTCGGAGCTAGAAGAGACCTAGAGTCGTGCCACCCAACACAGCAGCCACATGACTATTTAAATTTCAATCAATTAAAATTCCATTACATTAAAATTTTAGCTCATCGGCCAGGCGCAATGGCTCAAGCCTGTAATCCCAGCACTTTGGGAGGCTGAGGCGGGTGGATCACGAGGTCAAGAGATCGAGACCATCCTGGTCAACATGGTGAAACCCCGTCTCTACTAAAAATACAAAAACTAGCTGGGCGTGGTGGTGGCGCGTGCCTGTAATCCCAGCTACTCAGGAGGCTGAGGCAGGAGAATTGCCTGAACCCAGGAGGCGGAGGTTGCGGTGAGCCAAGATCGCGCCATTGCACTCCAGCCTGGGTAACAAGAGTGAAACTCCATCTCAAAAAAAAAAAAAAAAAAAAAAAAAAAAAATTAGCTCCTTAACTGCACTAGCCACATTTCAAGAGCTCAATAGCCACAGGTGGCTACTGGCTACTATATCAGCATGGACACAGAGCACTTCCCCCACTGCCGAGAGTTTATGGGATAGTGCTGCCTGTTACTTAAGGATAGAGAGAGTAAAGCCCAGAGAGGGGAGAGAATGGGTATGTGCTGGGGCCCTGGTCCCCAAGCCTGCTAGCCCACAGCAAGGTGATCCCAACAGTTCTTTCTCGTGATAGAAGAAGCGGGGCAGGGCTGGTCGAGGTGGCTCATACCTATAATCCCAGCCCTCTGGGAGGCTGAGGCATGCTGATTGCTTGAGCCCAGGAGTTTGAAACCAGCCTGGACAACATGGCAAGACCCTATCTCTATAAAGAATAAAAATTTTAGTCCAGAAGCAGTGGCTCACGTCTGTAATCCCAGCACTTTGGG